ACTAATCTTAAAAAGAAAAGCCAATTTTGTTCTCCTAGTACACAGTTTCACTTTGGGTCCTATTTCATTCCTGTCTACAGTGGATTTATGAATACCTGTACTACGACTTTAAATTCATTTGTACTCTTCTGTTTACTACAATGCAATTTCAAAGCCTCTTTCTATTGTGTTTTTGTTTTGGATTTTTGCTATAAGTCTGGCTAAACATAATTTAGCAACAGCTATGCCAGAGCCTGAGTGCTACAGTGGTTTTAAATATTCTCTGAAAAGTAAGGTACTTCGTTACTTTAAAATTCAGCAACACTAATTTTAAGACACTGTTTAGCAGATTATATCCAGATTCTTATAGTCAGAATTTATCACCAATGACTATTTTTAGCCTCTGAAGCCTCATTAGCAAAGTCTTTATAAACCAGATTTCTATCAGCCCTCTTGCCTTTCTCCCTTTCACCAGCCCTTTAAGCACTGCTTTCTTCATTCTGGGGCATCCCAAAGCTGAAACTATGAATTCTTCCATATTCTTTTGAAAAACCAGTTCTAAAGCTCTATGAACCGCATGGGCAGATTTATTCCAGCAGCGTTATCACTTTTGCATTTTGTTTTTGTTTTTTTTTGTATTTTGTACTTTAATTTCTATGTTAACTTACTTTCTCATCAATGATAGAAGGAACTCATTGGCGTAATAATTCAGGTTGACTCCTATCACTGTAAAGCATGCAAAGTTCAAGACAGGAGGGTACAGAAAACCAAATCAGAAAACCAAAATCAGGACTAGGATATAAATATACACTCAAGGTCTGGTCAAACTGGCCTGTCTTTCAGTGGCAGACCTTTTCCCAGAAATGTTCTACTACTTTCCAAAATATCAGCTAGAAACTAAATATTCAAACACTTGCATCTATAGAGGACAGAGGGATAGATGGATGGATGGATAGATACATAGATAGATAGATAGATAGATAGATAGATGATAACAAGATAAACATTAAAGATAGATGACAGATTAAATATAGACAGGTTCTAGTTATGTTTTATTTTTTATTTTATTTTATTTTTATTTTTTGGTTTTTTGAGACAGTAGTGTTTAGGAGGCTGTCCTGGAACTCGCTCTGTAGACCAGGCTGGCCTCGAACTCACATAGATCTCCCTGCCTCTGTCTCCTGAATGCTGAGATTAAAGGCGTGCACCACCAACGCCTGGCTTCTAGCTATGTTTTAGATAAATAGGAGATAGATTGTATAAGATAGATCTATGGTAAACAAATTTATGATAGATATAATCTAGATAATAGGTAGATACAGTTCATACAGTTCATAGGCAGATGACATATGATAGAATAGAGAGGCTAGAAAGAAGGCAGAAGGATAGATAATAAATAAAGCCTTTCATTTAGTTCATTTCCTTATTTGACAACTCAGCTCCAAATCTCAAAATGTTTCTTAAAATATAAAATACCTACATGGAAAAAATATAATGAAACAAACACAAGCATTTGACAGCACTCATACTGTCATATTTTTAGGGATATAAATGAGTATACTAAAATTAAAGTTCCAGTTTTATACATCACAAATATTGACATCAGCCATATTAAGGAAAATGTGTTGGTAAGGCTGCAGGAACAAACCATGGGGATATAAAAGTCACTGTTACAGGGCACAGTGACTACAAAAGGGGACTTCTTATGAGAGAACAGGACAAAGCCTGCCACAGACTACACATAGCTAACTGTTTTCAGGTGGATGTGTTTCAGTCATGAAGCTACTATGAAATTACCTGGACATGTGCCTCTATCTTGGATCACTCAAGGAATGAGACACTTCATACCATTATGCCCCACAGTAGGAAATGAGAAGTAATAAAGACTATTTCTTAAGAACCAAATGGTGCTTCTAGCAATAAAATAAAATTAAGTTCCTCTCTATTTTAATTTGTAGTTAAATTTCAGTACATAGAGTATTTGTAAATATTTGTTCATTCCTATAGCCGCTAGACATAATTTAAATTGCCTTTGAATTACTCTTATTCATTTTGCAAGGATTTGTTCAGCCATATATGTATGTCTAGTTGCTTTATGATTCTGCACTTCTCTTTGGTTTCATTTTGTTTATATCTAAGCATAAATCATAAAAAACTGAAAGAAAATAACAAGCAATAATTAGCTGATTGCAAAATACCTACTTGCTTTCAAAGACTCAATGATGAATATGCTTTCCTCTGGAGACTGCACTGTGATGTATAAACCAACAATAGATTTCTGTGATTCCCATGCAGTCTGGTGAATCATCAACAATAAGAGACATTTCCCAAATGTACTGTTTCTGGCGGTTTCTTTCCCACCAGGTCATGCCACTGTTTCAGCCCCCAAATAAACACACAGAGACGCTATATCAATTATAAAACTGTTGGTGTATGGGAGGGCTTCTTACTGGCTAGATCTCTCTTAATTATTTACCCATATCTACTAATCTATGTATTTCTACATGGCCTTACCTTACTGGAGAATGCCTAGCACATCCTATCTTCCCAGTTGGCTACATATTGTGTCCTTCCAGTCTCTCTCTGCCTACCTTTCCCAGAATTCTCCTTGTCACCCAGCCCCACCTATATTCTTGTCTTATTAGCAAACAGTGTTTTTATTCACAGCCAATAAGAGAAACACAATACAGAAGAACATCCCCCATCAACGTACTCTACAGATTTGTATTCTTATCTTCAGATTTTGTTCCATACTTAATTTGTATGAATGTTTTCCTGGCATGCAACTATGTGTATCACATGCATGACTGTTGAAATCAGGGTTATAGTTAGTTGTGAACCACCATGCTAGCAATTGTGAGTCCTCTGGAAGAGCAGCAAGTGCCCTTACCCTCGTAGCCATCTCTCCAGCCCTTTACAGATTTGTAACCTGTAAATTGTACATATGAAACATATATCGATAATAGCAGTCTGTATCAGACCTGTGAATGCAAAACATGCCCTGGGTATAACAAATGTAGACCTCTAAGATCTCTGTGCCTACAGACATTGGCATTGGCAAGCAAGAAGCGTTCTTGCTTTTTCAGTTACCACTGTTATACACTGAAATAAAATTGTAAAGCTGTGTAGTTATCTGATTGTCTAATTGGAACTTAATACAGGAAACACATGAAAAAATTAAACATGCTATAATTTAATGTATTCTTTATGTTTTCCAGCTGTTGTCCTCATCGCGACTGTCAGGGAGAGTCACTCTCAATACTAGTGTTTGTTACACCCTTTTATTTTAAAGCTGTGTCTTCATTTCATCTGTAAATTGGAGGTAATATGAAGCAGGTGGTGGGTACTCAATTGATTTTACCTGGAACAGATACATGTTTGACTCTTGTTAAGAATGTGTTTCTTGGGCTGGATAGATTGATAGCTCAGGATTGAGAACATAAGCTGTGCTTGAGGATTTGAGATTGATCCCCGCACTCACATGATGTCTCCTCACCATCTGTGACTGATTTCCAGGGGATTCACTGCTCTTTCTGGCCTCTCCAAGCACAAGTTGTGCATGTGGTGCACAGGCATATGTGCTTTGTGTTAAGTCAAGCTACCAAATAACTGATTGTGTACCCACCATAATGATAAATGCAGCAGGATTTTCCACATCACATCCCCAAAGGAACTTTGCCCACAGCAGAGACTGGGTTCATTTGTTATCTGCTATCTTCAAAGTGTATCAAAGAGATTGATGAGAGTGTGAGTGCCATTATCTTTACAGAGTTTAGACTTTTAATTTGTCCTAAAGTCAGTGAATCAAAAAAGACGATAAAACATTTCTTTACAGTACTCAATGCAAAAAGAAAAGGAAAGGGAAAATATTTATAGGAAGAAATGGTTTTGTACATGGGATAAAACAATATAACATCAAAAATATACAGGTGAGGGTTAGCTCTATCACTCATCTTTAAAAAGTTTATATGAATAACTGGTCAAAACCAACTGGGATCTGTCTGGAAGTGTTATCTGTATGGATTCCAAATAGACCACATGGCTGTATACAGTATTGGAATGTCCTCAGAAGACTTTGTCACTCAATAGGTAACAGAGAAAAGCCCCAGAGTCCTTTCTTTCAAATGAAGAGGAAAAAACTGGGCTTAAAGAAACTATTCAAACTTCTTTCCTTGTTGTGACTTTAAGTCTCTTCCTTTTCCTACCACCTAGGAATCCTCCAAGACTTCCAAAGTCTTATGACTTCTGCTAGCAAATCTGCCTACTCCTACTTGACCTCTACCCTAACCTCCAAAACCTCCTCTGCCTCTACCTAAAGCCATCTTTTCTCTCAAGTTTGGTTTAGTTAAAGGTTGTTTCTGTCAGTTTCTCCATCTTCCATAAGCTCCAGAGCAACTTTGGCATATTCCTTGCTACCAAACTCTACAAAGCCAAACTCTTTGGAGGAACAAGTTTCCCTCATATGATTCAGTGGTACCCTCTGATAGACATTTGATAGAGGTTTAGACAGTTGACTTCTGGCAATAGGCAGTACTGTGGTTATTTGTAACTTCAACCTGATCGTTCTGCCCTTGATTTTCCATTTTATTTCAGGAGTTTATAGATTCTTTAGCATCTTTAAATGAAGCAAATTCTATAAATGTATACCCTTTAGGTTTGCCATTTGGGTTCTGAGCACTCAGATAAAAATTGCTTACTCAAACACTTTCTGAAGAGTTTCTTCTGTTCCACCATGGAAAGGTTATGTAAAACAAACTTTTTGATTCACCACTCCAAGTGCTACTCTTTCCATCTCTCTCTTGCTTTTGTCCTTTCTATCCAGTGTAGTAAATGAAACACACTGCTCATCAGCTTCTGCCCCCTACTTTTCTTCGTAATTTTTCTCTGCACCAGTTTCTGTCTTAAATTCAATATAAGCAATCCCTTCACTCTTCCCATCCTGGCAGACAAATCTAATCTCTACGGCACCTTCTAGAACGTCCTTTAATTTATTCCCAACGACGTAGAAAGAGAGATTTGTTAAAAGTATGAAACGCTCCATGAATTTGTGTCATCCTTGTGCAAGGGCCTTGCTAATCTCTCTGTTATTCTAATTTTAGGTACATGTGTTGCCAAAACAAGCACAAGGGTGTCATCGATATCCTTTACCTTTACTGTTCCCCAAAAAGTGCAAAAGGGAGGGTGTATATATATATGTCTTTTAAGCAAGGTAAGGGCAGAAGAGAAATACAACTCCCAACCCCTTCTAGACTCGAAATGAAGTTAGACTTATGTGCCAGGAGAAATTATTTAACTGCTGTTTGCAGTCCGAGCTCAGCAACCTGTTGAATTAATATGGAAACTGTTAAATGAATTGGAGAACTCTATTTTCTATGGGTTTGCTAATATTCCATAAGCTGTATTAGTCTCACTTGCAATAAATGTGATGCCATGTTTATTAAGGGTTTTTCAACAATTTTTGAGCACACGATTTTTGTGACAATGCTTTCTTATTAAGGAGTGCAGTCACTTGTGGAAACCAATGTGAGTACCACATAGAAGCTCTGAAGATGCTGGCTGTGTTTCTTGTACTCTGCCTAGACTCTGTTCTACTTTTAGGCTTCCTGGAATCCAGGAGTTAGAATCTTCAACTATTTCTCCTATGTGGTCCATTGCAACCAAAGCTTCAAGCTCAGGAAACAGCATTCACGAACTTGTATTCCTCCCTCCTACCGACATCTGCTTCAGATTGATGAGGGCAGCATTATATTAAAATGAGATTGCCAGAGAAACACATTCTCACACTTCCCAGTAGACAAGCACGAACCTCCCCATAGCGAGTTGCACATGTCACTTGTACATTTCTCTTGATTGAGGTGTTTTATTCTTTCTTAGTGTTCCTAGTGAGATGAATGTTATAATGATATTTCGGTTCCCAGAGGTAAACAGCTTGTTCTTTGAAGGAACAGAATGTGCATCACCCTCTAGGTATCTTTTGTAATGTTGCAAGATATTTTCTGTCTAGTTGAGAAAATGGAGCATGTATTTATTACTTCTCAGACAACCTGGGGATTAATATAAAGAAGAAGGGTGTGATTCCTGACTTTTGAGAAATGAAGAACATTAAGTCAAAGCTTAGTATTTGAGAAATATGCATATCCAATGGGGGAAATTCAATTAGGGCTCACTAATGCAAAAATCTAACATAAGTTATTGTTCTTAATTTCAAAGAAAGAAATGTAAGGCACTTTGTAGAGATGTATTATATAATAATGCCTATTTCCTTTTTTAGAGTGTGAAGCTGACATCGTATTTTACATCATATGACCACATAAATCTGTGTCTGGTGTAAAACCTATTTCTCTAATTTTAATGATATGTATTTTTCTTTTTTTCTCTGTATCTCTCTCCAGCCACAAAAAAGTTCTCCAGGAATCCATGAGAGCTCCCGAGTTCAGGCAACAAAGGAAGAGAAGAGGAGAACCTCTGTGTGTGGTCCCCAAGATGTAAGAATAACCTAAAGTGGTTTGGGAAGGAGGAGCCAACATTGGCAATGGTAGCTCATGCCATCATGAAACGTTCTCTATCGGGTTGGGGGATGTCTTCTTTCTAAGCACTATAAAGTTCCATGTGATGAAGCAGATGTTGCCTAGACAGCATCAGGTAGATGCTCTTCTCAACTGTATAGCCAGATTCTGCTGTGCAACCCATGGCACAGGACCACCACCACATTATTCCTACAACAAGATAGACGGTAATCCAGGAATCCAGTTGAAAAGATGGAAGAGGCAATACATGAGCGAGGGAGGTCAAGATAATGAAGGGAACACCTACAGAGACAGCTGAAACAAACTCATGGGAACTCATGAACCCTAAACTGACATCCGTGGAGCCTCCATGGGACGGACTAAACCCTCAGCATATGGGAGACTGTTGTGAAGCTTGAACTATCTGAGGGGGCCCTGGCAGTAGGGCCAGTATCTATCCCTGGTGCATGAGCTAGCTTGTGGGAGCCCATTCCCCCATGGTGGGATGCCACGCTCAGGCTTAATGCAAGAGGGAGGCTTTGGTCCTCCATCAACTTAGTGACCTCCCATGGAAACCCTTTCCCTGTGGGAAGAATGGATAGGGTTGGGCTGGGATGGGGGTGACGGTTGATGGGAGAAGCAGGGAGGGATAAGTGTGGTTGAAATGCAAAGTGATATTTTAAAAACTTAAAATGAAAAAAAGAGATAGACAGCAGTCACACAGAGTTAAAGCAGAACAAACTAAAGGGATTCTATAGTATTCACCACCTAAGGAAAACAAATGTGTCATTACAGAACAGCACAATAAACAAAGGGGAATCCTCCTCTGTCTAATGATAAATAGATAGGAACCTGAAATATATTTGGTGGGGGGGCATCCTTCTTTATAAGTATAATAAAAAATGAAACATCAACCCTTGAATTCTGTTAGAATGTAGGTTTCAGATCTGTTATGACAGGTATAACAAATGACATTTGTGTTAACCAGATTCAGATACAGGCTCTAGTCCAAAGAGAAATTATATTATGAGACTACCCATGGCTAAAGGAAATTAACTAGTATCTAAAGGAAATAAGGAAGAGGGAAAAGTAAATAAATTGGTACTTACATTTTTCTTCTTTTAGATCCCAACATGTATTTTGGAAAAAATAATTTTTTCAATGTGTTTGCTCATGAATCTTTGTATGTATTACCTTGTAGCTAAACAATATAACTTAGGATATAAAGTTAATTAGGAATAAAATCAACACTCTGCAATTGGCTTCCATGTGGAGTCCAGAATTATATGTGTAGGAAGGTATGACTTTGCAGTGGTCCAAAGTATGGATTTACCAGTGACAGCAAATTTTCCCAAACAGAAGATATACCAGAGCACTATGGATACAGAATAGAATATAGAAAGTGCTGAGATACTCAACCACAGCTTAATCAGGAACCACAAAGTAAGGACTTGGATTCCCACATTAGAGAATTTAGTCTGAATCTATGCAATGTTTTCAAATGGTTGTCAGCAGAGGAACAAGAAAATTGTCAATGATTTTTTTATCATTTTAAAATTTAGATGCACTCTTTTTTCATTTTATATAATATCCCAGTTCCCACTGCCTCCCCTACTCCCGCTACTCCCTCCTCTCCCCCACCCCACCCCCCATCCATTCCTCAGAGAGAGGGTAAGTCTTCCCATGGGGTGTCAATGAAATCTGGCATATCACTTAGAGACAGGACCAAGGCCCTCCCTCCTATATCTAGGCTGCGCAAGGTATCCCTCCAAAAAGAATGAGCTCCAAAAAGTCAGTCCAAGTACTAGGGATAAATCCTGATCCCACTGCCCACAGACTTCCCAAGTCACACTACTGTCACCCATATTCAGAGGGCCAAGGTTGGACCAGTGCTCACAGAGTCCAACTGAAGAGAGGTTGGAATGATAACATGAGCTAACATGTCAAGACCAGTTGGGGGATACCCACAGAAACAGGTGACCTGATCTAGTAAGAGCTCAAGTAGGAGCTCACTGGCTCTGGACTGACAGGGGGCAAATGCCAATTTATAGGAGGGAATTTACCTGTTTATATGACAAGTTGGAAAGCTTTGCTTTGTTCATTGATATTCTAAAGCATCACTTTGGTTTACCATTTTACTAAAAAGTTGGGCCTGCCAAAATCCTGTGTGTGTGTGTGTGTGTGTGTGTGTGTGTGTGTGTGTGTGTGTTACTGTTATCCTCCTCTCCTACTCCAAGTGTTCTCCTTCATAAACTGCTCTTCTTTGACAATTCCGATGGGCGTGTCCTTCCCTGGCACACTCTTCCATGGCACCAATGGGAACATTGTCTCTAGCCTTACTTCAGTAGACACTGGTGTTCCGGTGTCTCAGCCTTCCAGAGCTATAATTTCTAGTGTATAGTGATCAGTCGGAGCGACAGAGAAAATGTACGCCTGATAAGTTACTTGGGTTTAAGAAGAAGGAATTAGTGGCACTGTATGAATACCAATTTTCAAGTTTTAAACTAGGAGTTCTAATCTATGACTTCAGAATAATATCACGTCAACATTCCCATGGGTGAGATCTCTACAATTGATGTTTTTATCTTAATACTCCAGGTGATTTTGTGCTACACATAAATTTCACTATCAGTGGTTTTCAAATAGAAATAATCACAAAATTAACTGGGGGGCATCATTCCCATTTTGAACAATTACTTGGAGTGTTCTGAATGAATAAAGCCAAGGGATTTTGTAAAGCTTTTGGGGCCTGATGATTGTCATCTAGGAAGTGCAGTGATTATTAAGATCAGTATAAGCTTATTGGAGCCTCGAAATCTTTAATCACATGCATACAGATACATGCATGCGTGCATGTTCATGTGTATATGGATGCATATATTAAATTGTCATTTCATAAATATCATTTAATAAATTCTGGAAGTAGATGTTCTGCACCCATTATAAAGTTCATGTAAACTGTGTCACCAATACTATAAGAACTTGTATAAAATTACCATTTTAATGTATAACTGCAACAATAAAAGAAATAGATAACTTGTTACTGGACAATACACCATAGTGGCTATGCCTTTCCTAAACCAGTGCTCTTTAAATTATGCTCTATGGGCCACATGTATTTAGGATTGTGTGCGTTGAGTGTAAGCTGATCACTGACATACAGAGCTTGGGTACCATTTATCGTGAGCACCGAGGATTTGAGGACCCTTTCCACAAGCTCACATTGAGAACACTACAATGAGAACACTCCTTTTCCTGATTAGCACGTGAGTGTTGGAGGACTTTTGCAGCCGTGAGAACTATTTGAGTGTAACTGTCTATGCTCGGAGCGACAGCATCATGAGCTGTGTTAAGCATTATGCAAGTGTGACAGCCATTTCAGCCTAGCAACAGGGAAACACTTTCAACATCATTATGCATGCATATGGAGAGCAGAGCTCCACTTTTGTTTCTTTTGTTTAATATGTAAACTGACAGAAAAGAGAACTTAATTTAAATGATTAAACACACAAGAACTGCTTACTTTCCTTGCACTCCAACATTTAGACTTGCAATCCCCCGATGAACCCTTTTTAAATTAATTATTTAATTATTTAGCCAGTTGTACTAGCTGTCAAATTTTTATGCAATGGCTACCCTTTATACACCAAATTTTTATCCCCTTCAACAAAGATAAACTCATACTTGTCATCAATTAACTTTTCTGCTTTCCAGATGGCTTCAAACAGATTCTATATGTCTATCATTTATTCACTTCCATAATATTTTATTACTTCGTTTAACCGTAACTATGACTAATACTTACTATATTTTGAGATTATGATATATTTATAATATAGTTAGACCTCTTTCCTCCAAATTCTCCCATATAGCCCTCCTTGCTCATTTAAATATGCATGTATACTCCTACATGCATAAACACAACCAGCTAAGCCTGTAATGTATGCATGTATTTGTATGCAAGCCTTCAGAGCTTACCATTTGGTATTAGATAACCAGTTGGTGTTTTCATCCCTAGGGAATTACCGAATTATCTTAATACCAGTACCTTCAAAAAAGTTCTGAAAATAGGAAGTTAAAGTCCTAAAGCTTTTTCATTCCATTTTAATACCAAAGTGACTGTTCTGAGCCCCATGCAATGTCTTATAACTTATTCAAACAACCTGATAATTTCAATAAGCCTGCATGTTATAATTTTGATAGGGATCACAGTTACAGATCCTATTAAGGGCAAATGTCATCTTCATAACTGTTAGTACAACTCACAAATTGTTTATATAAGCTAAATTTATAATTTAAGTTAAATTTCCATCTGAAATGATTTATAATTTTAGATGCACATTAATTCTGAGGTAACAAAATCTAAATTCTGACTCAGGAAACCTCACAATCTGTACTTTTCAGTAAGTGTCTATATTCTGTATTATTTCACCATAACAGAGATGTGTATGGTTTGTTAAAATACTGAAGAATGAATAAAGTTTCAGCCAAATATGAAAAAAATGAGATTTTTTAATCTAAGTATCTGAAGCAGGGCTAGCAGTTAAAGTGGGAATCTATGTGTGATCAGAAGATGAAAACCCACATTTTGGAATGATGGTGGAAATATTGACGTCATCTGTGGCTGATCCTCGGCACTCTAGAGAGAAGTGAGGAAAACACATGAAATTTCCCAGGCCACTTTTAGGGATGGCTGTGTGATTGACTCCCACTGGTCACAGCTTACCCTCGATAGCACAGGGGAGAATGCATCTGAGCATTACCAGTGCTGTCTTTCAGATCGCCTTTTGTAACTGGATTTATTTTTATGTACTTCTTTTCAATATAGGATACAGAATATGACCAAAAATCCCTGGGTCAGCCAGTAACATGACCAGGATCCAGTTATACATATTAGCGCAACTGTGAGAACTTTCCTAGAATGTATGCTATTTGAGTAGCCCCTACTACCATGTCTCTTGTTGATGTTTTGGCCTAAATGCTGAGAAATGCCTGAAGCTGATTTCAGGCACAGTCATTCACCTTTAAAATAGCTTTAATTAGACGGTCATGTTATAAATCTGGAGAAAACGGGGACAGCCAAGCCAGCTTTTCCTTCACCTCATTTTCCCATGGCTGTTGTTAAGTAGTGTACTAGGGGTTAAGAACATTTCGCAGTTTGTTTTCGTTTGGAACGAAGAGGGAAATAAAAGGTCACATGTGTGGTGGAACATCCTGAGAGATCACTGGTGCTGTTTCTTGGGAAACCAAGCTTCTCAACACTCCACACTACCCTCCTCAACTCAGCCCTGTGTTTCCGCACTTCACATTGTCTCTTAGCTTAGTGGCTCTCACACACACCTTCTTCCACTGCCGTGTAATTACTGACAGCATTTTCTCTCATATTTTTTAGTTCAAAGATTTTGCTAGTTGAGCATGTTCTTATCACATTCTTTCATTGTTTTCTATTACTCTATTAAGTTTCCATGCTTTCATACAATCATTATTTTTCTTTCTCGCGAGCTATCAAAAGCTTATCCCCATTTATTCTCACTCTTTGGTTTTGATTTTTTTAAACATAGTTTCCCTACATATCATCATCTGACTTAGAATCCACCATTTACCCAGAATGACATCAAACTCACAGTAATCCTCCTGCTTCAGCCACTGTGCATGCGTGACTAACTTAGTATATTTCTGTGATAAGCATTAAACCTGTTGTTTGTACATTTTTCATGTGGAAACCAATCCTGCATGTATGACCAAATCTGCATTCTTTTTCCCAGAAAATACAATTCAGTATTACATATTGCCCTTCCTTATACCCCAGTTAATTTCCTCTAGGAAAAAGGAACATGTTGTGCAATAATTATTTTCTCACAGTGCTAATACTAATATTAATCTTTAGTTTGTCATTGGTAGCATGCATCCCACAGAATTTTGTTGACACAACGGTAACAAGCAATAATTTGCCTATCACATTGGCGTTACTTTTTAATTGGTTGTTAAAACTCAATCTCCTCTCTGGTTAATTTTATCTTCTTTTTCACTTCAATGGCAATTGCAAGTCTTTAACTTTGAAAAACACACCGATTCCCAGTTATACCTTTTAAAAGTAAACCATTGTATGGTAGCAATTGTAACTTATGCTGTATGAAAACTATATTCTCAGATATACTCAATTCTATAATATTGCATTAACTGTACTCCAGGCCTTGGATGGGGGAGGGTGGTGCTAGGAATAAAAGCATGTGGAAAGATGACCTTTATCTTGACCTTTAGATGAGAAACGAGCCACGCCAAGGAAACTGGAAATGGGGGGTCATACTGTGTTTATTAGAGAGGGAGAGGTCACTTGCATGAGAAGCCGAGAACGGGGGTCAGAACACTCTGATCTCTGACCACGATTGCGCCCCAAGAGAGCATGTGCCTCCTTTCCTCAAACTCTTATATCCTGCCTCTACTAAGTACCTGTGACCACGCCCTCTTGGGCGTGGTCAGCAGTGTAGGTGTCTAAGATCTCTTACACCTTCCATTTCTGGGATGCTGCTCAAGTTAGTTGGTTCCAAATCTCACTTCCCTCTCTGCTTCCTCGCATTTCGCCCTTCAACCCTTGTGGTATCCCTGGTTTTTAACATTTCATAGTAGCTCTACTTCTACCAATTTTTGCATTTTAGACAAATTTGTTAGTACTTATCTCTTAAAGGAGAATCAATTTGATACATAAGTATTTATAAGAATTATACAAGGAAATTATTTAAAGACCTTTTACAAGGAAATCCCAGTATTACAGCAGCAATAAATATGATAAGCATAGGAGCAAATGTCCCAGGTACACATGTGCACATGTGCACATACATATTGAAACACACAAATGCCCACATGGCACTCACACATAAAATGTGCATATACTCGTACCTACTCACACACATATACTAACTGACTAATGATTGAAGATGGACTCAAACCACGATTAACATAAAACATTTTTTTCTTTTAACATTTTGAAGAACTGTTATACATTTCAACTGTCCCATGAAGAATTTTAGGAAACAGAGTACCTGTAATTATTTCAAGTACTGTTGGAGTATAACATAAAGATCCCATCAATGTGACAGATACTTGTTGTGTTTCCATATGTATTTAATGGTCATGATAAAAAAAGAAATCTGTGCATCTGTGTAGATGACAGGAGGAATCATAAAACAATGCAAACAAAATAAAAATTAACAGCTTCCTGTAAATGATCTCCAGGGTCATGCAAAGTGGGGCATGCCTACAGAACTGACATAGATTACGGACTTTCACTGAAGAGAGGGGATCATGATGGCAACATATTTGAGAAACCATTTCATGGGATGAGTTCTATGAAATACAGTTTACATGTTATTAGATTCCAACACAGCATGCTTCTGTCTGTGAGGAGCCATTGGAAACGTAACCTTACAGTGGGGTTTTCTATGGGTAAAAATCACCGTTTGACCTGAGTTTCCCCATAACTTACTCCTTCTCCTCTCCTTTCAGAGTTCCCATCTTACTGCATCCTTACCAGTCCATTACCCATGGTGCAGATCCATTAATGTTCCTCCCCTTTATCCTAGAAAGTATTCCTTACAAATACTCTCACCATCACTCAAGGACAGTTTTTACCTCACTGTTTGAAAAGAATGGCAAGTTATCCAAGCAATCAATATTCCCTTTATGGAGAATATGCCACATTTCTTTCCTTGGGTATTGAGAATGCTTCTCTATAGAATAATGTTTTGACTCTGGTTTCCACTGTTATTTCGCATTACTTTTCCATTAGGCATATATTGATAAAAAACATTCAATAAAAATTATATGTACATAAGCAATCCAAAGTGCTGTAGTCAGTCTGCACGGTGCTGACAGAGCAGGGATATAACTGATACTTGCTGCTGTTAGAATGAAGGGAGTGACGGTAGGACTTCAAAACCACGTGAAAAAGGATTTTTATGGAGGTAAAGGACATAAAGAGATGAAAAATAGGAGAGTGACATGATGCTTGTGGGAGGTTCAAATATGAAGCATGTAAGAAGAACTTAGTTCTAAATCCTGAGATGCAAGAATCTCTATCCCCTCCACAATCTCTGTGGCATCATCTTCTCAGAGTACTTTAAATGACAGAATGAAGCTAAATGGCGTCCCTGATCCACATACCCCCACCCCAGCAAAGAAACTGAGTGGTTGAATATCAAGAGCTATCCACTGTCCATTTATTAAGCTCTTAGTCTCTGTTTTATGCATGGGAAAGACTACAGGAATTCAGCATATGGGACACTGACATACTCCATCTTAGCACCTTTTTATGATCTGAGAAAAGCAAGGGGAGAAAGGAGCAATAGACAGAGACAGGGAGAGGAGAAAGGAGGGAAGCAATCAGAGTGAAAGCTGAGTGGAACTGTTTCCATTGGCAACTTCTTTTGCTCACATCTCAACGGGGCCAAAAGGGAACACGTGGCTTCTTGCTTTGTAAAATACGGGGATCTTTTAACCATAGAAATATTGCCTTTTTAAAAATATACTGAGGTATTTTGTCAGACATATTTATGATAATGTAATTGAAATTCCTTCCTGTCTTTCAATATTTCAAGACCCATTTTTATTTTTATTTGCGTGTTTGTGTGTGGTTGTGTATGTATGTTTGATTGTGTGTGCATGGGTATGTGTGTGAATGCATGCATGCATGTGTGTGTGTTTGTGTGTGAGTGTACATATGAGGTTGTATAAATATGTGAGTGTGCGTGTGCAATATATGTATGCGAGTGTGTGTGTGTGCGTGCATGGGCGTGCACGCGTGTGTGTACATTTGCATGTATGTGTGTGACTTCTGTGCACATGCTTGCAGAGTTTAGGTCATTGGATCTCTTGAAGCAGGAGTCATAGTGGGTATCAGTTCCCTAACATAGACACTTTCAATTGAACTCTGGTCCCTTGAAAGAGCAGCAAGCACCCTTGACTGCCAAGGAATTTCTCCAGTCCCCTGCCTTAATATTAATGTCCCTGCAGGCACATTCACCATTGATGACTAGTTTAAATGTTAGAATCCAAATGAATCATAGATATAACATTTCTTTAATCTTTCTCTCCTTTTGACTGTTTTACAGAGAAAGAATTTTTCTTTAGAATCCAGCTTATTAGTAACCAGGGGTAGAGAGAAGCTCCTGTGAGATGCAAATGACTCTGAACACTTGCCAGCTCTTGGGAACCCATCCCGCTGACAGGATTTTGCCTTTAGCTTTTAGTATGCATTGAATCTAAAGAAACTTTTTAATGGGAGTAATCCACAATGGGTCCTCTATCATCTTGCTTTGTTTGATTTCAGTTGACCTACTTTAATTGTTTTATAGGAGGGTAGTTCCTGTTTGGTGAAGCATGAGGAGGGTCCCCAAAGAAACTTCACTGCAGAATCAGAGCCTGAAACACAGGTATTCCCTTGTTAGTCTATTTGGTTTTCATTATATCCAGAAAGTCCTTCTTGTGTCCACTGTGTTGCGGGGCCATTCTTGTTTATTTTGTTAAACATTAATTTATTTTGTGTGTATGGGGAAGGATGTCATGGCTCTTATGTGGAGGACAAAGGCCAATGTAAGGGATTCTGTTTTCTCTTTCCACCATATGAGTTCCAGGCGTCAAGCTTGGTAGTGAGCACTTTTACTTGATAAGCCATTTTAAAAGATGTGAGACCTTATATATTGTCTAAAAGAATGTGTACAGGACTGATGTCTGAGAAGCCAACAGAGGACTGATCCAGACTCCATGAATATAGTGTCAGTGAGGAGGCCACAGACATCTCTGGGCCCTTGGATAGTAGATCAGCGTTTACCATGGTTTATGAATGATCTTTGGGAGCCTGTTCCACATGGAGGGATGCTCTCTCAGCCTGGACACATGGGGAAGGGCCTAGGTCCTGCCCTGGATGAAATGAAAGACTCTGGAGAACCCCCCAAGGACAGCCTCACTTTCCCTGGGGAATGATGTGGGGATTGGGCTTGGGGGCTGGGGCGGCTGGTGGAGGGACAAGGGAGGAGGGGTGGGAGAGGGAGCTGGGATTGACATGTGAAGCATGCATATTTCTAATTTAAATAAAAACATATATTGAGGAGAAAAAAAGGATGTGTATAGTTCCTTCAGCCTGGACCTTTGAACTTTGGTTTTCTATTGTGCCTGCCAGTAAATATTTTAGTGCGCCTACATGAGGCCCTGCAAAGATGAAGGACAGATCTCCTCCTCTCCCTCTATGCTGCCAACCAAGAAAACAAAGAGAGAATAAAAAAAATCTGTAATTCTTACAAGATGAAAGACATTAAAGGTGACTGGGGGAGTGGAGTAGGTGTAAAAAGTAGTCACCTTCCACAAAAAATTAATAGTACGTTTATCTGCAAAGTTTAATTCTGAAAATATTATATGGTATCAATGTTCAGGAAGTTTTTAGAGTTGCATGAGTTTTTGTTGGATGGTTTGGCCAGCTTTCTCACAGTAGCTTTTGAGGAACTGTAGCAGTTGTAAACACAGTATTTACATGTGGTAAAATCTGAATACGTGTTTAGTTTGGGACTCTCCTTGTGGGCTAGATGCTATTTGTTTACAATGTTGGACTTTGCTGCTGTACTACTACAGTTTTGTATTTTTACCTCAAATATGCCTATTTTTCAACTCTTCTAATTGTCTTTTCTGTATTGTTTGGCAGAAATTGCAGATGCCTCTTTGTTCTGAATGTGAAGAGAAAAAAGGCTCAGAGAAACAATCAGCCAGCTTCGATGGGATTCCAGCTAGAGAAGAAAAAATACTGTAAACAGGAGACACAGAGGAGTCAAAGGCATCTATTTCCTGCTAATGTTTCTAAAGTGCAGGCTCGATGGGAACACTATGTTTCTAAAGCATGCAACTTTTTCAGCCTTTTCTGTAACTTTATAAAGTTGACCACCACCCAATTTCCAAAAGATTACAGGCCAATTATGAGTTTTAGCAATAATCTACCGAAAAGATTTTCTTCACTTATACATATCTAATTGTCTTCCCTAAAATTACCCAGCATAAATTGATCTTTTTTGAGCTTAATGCAACCTTAGCCTTTCTTGGCCTTTGTGGGGATATCTAGTACTTCTAAGGTCTAGCTGCTAACATCAGCTGGAGGATGCTCAAATGTGGGTCCTCAGTGTTTTTAAAATCCAAATTGCATACAGATGAAGGTTTTGGTCCACAGTGGCCATCTGGTGTCATTTCCCCCAAAGTTGTAATTTGCAGATGAGAATACACGATTCTTAGGTATTTATTGCTTGGATCATTACATTGACTTAATAACCATTTGATATAAATTAGGCCCACCTAATTCTGTCAATGGTAAGTTAGTTACTAGAATTCATTAGTTAGATTTAATATGATATACATACAGGGTTTTGTTTTTTGTTGGTTTTAGAATGAATTACAGATATATTTCATACTATTTTTTAAAATTTTAAAGCCTTCTTTGTGCATACACACTGATATTGTGAAATCTGTAACTCCTTGGAGGAATGACTGGATAAAGAGTTTCAGGTTTGAGCAACCTTGTTTTCCAGTTGTGCATTGGCATTGCTTTGACTTCCTGTCCTAGAATCTGATAATATAATCAGTTTGCTTTTCTTAACTCTTGGAAGGATAATAAAAAGGTAAAATTTCCTCCTGAAATGTATACAGTCATGTGTAGCCACAAGTTTTCTCTAGGTTGTCTGTCATAATAGTCACTCCTATATTTGAAAGAAACACCTTAAGAGCAGATTTTTTTCTAAGAATTTTCAAGTAACATTTTAAAAGTTCTTTTAATAGTTTCATTGGGTTATTTTTAGTGTTATTTGCAGTTATTCTTTAATTAATGTGTTTTATCTCTCTTAGCCCTTCCCTTGCTTTGAGATTTGAACAGAGATGTCTACATGTTTTCCTTACCCATGTGACTACTCACTCTATCGAAGAGATGCCCATCTCCTACTCTTCTTAATTATCAACTTTACACTAGACATTGTTTTGAAAATATTTAAACACTGACCATACTCATATGGAAAAAATATTATCTAATATATTGACAATACATGGTGTGATTCTGTCATATACTTGCAAGGTTAAGAGAAGAAATACAACTTAGATTTTACAACTGTGGATTAATCACTGTTGCGGACACCCCTGTACTTTCTAACGGAATAACATATTTAATATGTCCTTCCGCAACTAAGAACAGTTTTTCTCTATTTTATATTAGTATAATAATTCAATTTAAAATGTGAATCAACTACAATGTATTCATTTGTAAATTAGAAAACTTTTTGAACTTTGTCTTTCTTTGTATGTACATAAATATGTCAATTAAACTAGTGCCTAAGACCTGTGAACCCTGAATGAGCGCTGGCTGTGTCTATTGAATAGAGTGTGCCCAGAAGAGGACGGTGTCAGTCATTGGTCTGGGTAAAGATTTCTTCACAGTTTCAGCTGTCTGAATGCTGACAATGCCAATGGCTGACATTTTTTTCCTGTCTTTGAGCAGGTGACTAGTATAGCATTGCTGCTTCACTCACGATTCTGTCTCCTAAAATACACTGAGCTACAAGCTCAATGCAGTTTTCTCTTTCGTTTCGCTTTGTTTTGAGGCGCACATTTGCCGTTTCAGATGGACAAGGTGTACAGCTTCGCTGAAATGGAGTCTGTGAATTTGCTACCAGGGAATCTTTTATTTTTATAGCTCAGGTAATGTAAATTAGCACTAACTACAGCAGAGGCGGTAATAATGGTTTACGGTATAGAGTGGGGAAAGCTGGCAGAGTAACGAACATGATGCTGGTTTATGTAGGGGGCTGTACTGTCAGAAGGTCTACATCCCCGAGCTATGCATTCAGCTGGATTGTGTCACATACTACTAATGGTCAAGCATTGATAAATAAAAAAAAGTGCTGAAAAGTGGCCTATTTTCTTCAATAAAAATTCCATCACAAAGCTCATAATGTATTTTACCTTATACAAACTGAGTGCAGCAGCAAACGGCCGGCCTGCCTCTGCCTAATAGACCCCAAGGACTACTTTGAAACATCATACTGAAAGTTTTTTTCATTTTTTTTTGATGATTCCCCAGAGGTATTTTGTCTTATTTAGAGCATTTAAAAAGTTGTATTCATGATGTTGGGACTTAGACTTTCAAAAGTACTATTAATATCTGTTACTGTTATTTACATTTAATTGACAGTTACTACGTATGGTAAATGAGGACAATTTGGTGCTTGGCACAGCCATCAAATGAGGAATGATGACCGCAAACTTCATAGAAAATGCTAATGCATTTTCTGAGAATTAACTCGAAAACCTAAAATAGTGGGAATGATCAACAGAAAGAATGAGGAGCACATACAGGAATGGAACACAATCAAACTCGGGCTTTTACTGAGAAAAAAAAAAGAAAACACATCTCGGGTTTGGGTTTCTCCTTTCTTTATCCTGCTACTCTCCGACTATCTCTCTGAAACAACAATTTGTGGCCTGCATTTGTGGCTTTAGTCAGCGTGATTGTAGTATGGTAAACATATGACGGCACATCATTTAGTGATAGAGATAGCTTCGGAGGCATGCATTGTCCTGGATAGTTTATGTCAGCTTCCCCCAAGCTGGAGTCCCTGGAGAAGACGGAGCATAAACTGATAATATCTCTATAAGCCCTGGCTATAGGGCATTTTCTTAATTAGTGATTGATATTGTAGGGCCCAGTACATTATGGGTGGTGCCATCCCTGAGATAGTGGTCCTGGAGTCTATAAGAAAGCAGTCTATATGAACAAAGGAGTCAAGACCATGATGGGGAAACCCACAGAATCAGCTGACCCGAGCTAGCGAGAGATCACTAACTCAGGTATGACAAATGTTGAACCTGCATAAAACCAAACTAGACTCCTTGAATACAGGTGACAATGGTATGACCGGGACAATATATGAGGTCCCTGGCAGTGGGTCTAAGATCTAACTCTAATGCACAAACTGACTTAGTGGAGCCCATTCTATACGGAGACACAAGGGTGTGGGGCGCATTGGTCCTGCCTCAACAAGATGATGGGACAGACTTAGTAGACTTCCTAAGGAAGGCCTCACTCTCTCTGAGGAGCAGATGGGAGGAGGGGGAACTGGGGGGACACAGGAGGAGGAGGAGAAGGAAAGGAGGGAAGGGGAACTGGAATTGGAAAGTAAAAAAATTAATTAATAAAAAGAAATAAAAAATAAAGAAAGCAGGCTGAGCAAGCCACAAGGAGCAAGCCAGTAAGCAGCGCCACTCCATGGTGTGTGCATTGGTTCCTGCCTCCATGTTCCTGTCCTGTTTGAGTTCCTGTCCTGACTTCATTTAGCAATGAACAGTGCTGTGAAAGCATAACTCCAACAGACTCTTTCCTTCCCCAAGTTGCTTTGTTCATGGTGTTTTTTCACAGCAACAGTAACCTTAAGTAAGACAGATATTGGTACTAGGCTCATAAGGTATTTTTGTGACAGACATGACCATGTTGTTTTGGTGGGAAGACTTTGGGACTTTGGGCTAGAAAAGCCACTGACTGTTGAGAACTCAGTAGGCTGTTCTGTATGGACTTGGACTGAGGACAGGTGGGGGACAAGAGCAAAAGGGATCAGGTCAGGGTAGAAGAAGAAGGAGTAGGGAGGGACAGATGACATGGGGGGGCATTTGGGAGAAGGTGTGGAAATCTAGTTCAGTGGAAACTTCCTGGAATCTATTAGGGTGACACTAATGAGGATTCCTATTAATGGAGGATACAAAGTCTGAGGTGGCTGTCTTCTGTAGCCAGGCAAGGCTTCCAGTGGTAGGACTGGGTTGCGTTCAATTGAATTGTTGGCCAAGGAGTTGGATAGAGATCTCTAAACCACCTGGACTGATGCTAGGACAGAATGTTGCTCTCCAAAATCTGACATCAGGACCACATTGCCAAGGACAGCATTAACGAAATCCATTTTATATAGAGAGGTCAAGTTGGTACCTGCGTGGAGCCTTCAAGCACATGTTCTAATCTCTTTGTTGTGGCAAGTTACTCTGCGGGCTACCAAAAGAGAAACCTAGATACCAACCCAGTCCCAAAACCTTTGGTCTACAATATGCCCAGCCTACAAGATATTCTGGGGGCAATGGTGGCGAAAATTTGGGGAGTGACCATCTAATATCTGATTTAGCTAGAGTCCAATTCCACAAGAGAAGGCCCATGCTCTGCACTACCTGGATGGCCAGGAATGAGAGACTAGATAGCTCAGAGTCCTAAATTAGGACCAAACATGATTGACAAAAGGAATGAATAAATTAATAAAATTATTCCTAATGATATTCTGCTATACTCATTGATTGGTGACTTATCCAATTGTCATCAAAGAGGCTTCTCCTGACAGCAGGTGGAGAGGGTAAAGAGACCCACAGCTGTACATTATTTAGATAAAGAATCTAAATTGCAGCTCTCCTTTGAGTCCCTACAGTCAAAGATCAGGGAACCCCACAGAAAAGGGGAAGGAAAGATTGTAGGAGTTAGAAGGCGTGGAGGATGACACCACAAGAACATGACCCACTACATCAACTAAGCAGCGTTAATACGAGCTCACAGAGGCTGAAGCAGCAAGCACAAGGCCTGTATGTCTCTGGACCAGGTCCTCTGCATATGTTATAGCTGTTAACTTGTTTTTGTGGGACTCCTAACAGGTTTCTCTCTGACCCATTTGCCTACTCTTGGGACTCTTTTCCTCTTATTGCGTTGCCTTGCCCAGTCTCAATAGGAGGGCTTCTTCCTCCTCTTCTTTATATTTTTGCCATATTTGGCTGCCATCTCTTAGAAGTCTGCTCTTTTCTGAAGAGAAAATGGATGGGAAATGGATCTGGGGGAGAGAGGAGGTAGGGGAGATCTGGGAGTAGTGGAAGGAGGGGAAACTATGGTTAGGATATACTGTATGTGACAGAAAAATCAATTTTCAATTAAAAAAATCATCAGAGCATTGCGGACAATGGATCCCTGTCTTGTGAAGTTTCAGAGGGGAAGCAAAGACTCTGCCAGGTCATTTATGTGAATAATCTGTGGTGTCTGGACAGCCTGAGCTACAAAAGCAGCTGTGATTAACAAGAGATGAGAACGACTAAAGAAAAACCTTTGCTTTACTGGGATGATTGATGAAGAGAACTTGAGACTTTGAACCATGTGCAGAGCCCAGGAGAGGCTATTGGTGAAAATGCAGGCTGGGTGTCACAGAAAGTACCAGAGTTTTGGCAATGCTAGTACTACGGGAAGACCACCAAGAACAGCATCAGCAGTGGAATGGAGCCTTCCCAAGTTTAGAAGACAAACTGTGGGTGCTCCAGAGGGCAGAGCTGGAGAAGGACCCAAGCCCTTTGAAGGAGCCCTGAAGATTGTGTGTGGACCCCAGGAATAGGACATTAGGACAGTTATACATTTGGGGTTTGGTTTTGATTTGATTTGTGACTATGCCCTGGGCTGTCCCTCCTGAAGTAAGAACATACTTACTTTTTTATTTTTTACAAGAGCCCACAGTTGAGAGTCTTTAAACTTTCAAAGAGCTCTTGCAGTTTTAGAACAATTTGGGGTTTTAAAAGGAAGTTTGGATATTTTGAAGAGCCTTTGAACTTTCATGTATTAGAGTTTTTAAGGAATGTTGATGTTTATACTAATGTTCGATCTTGGGGATGAATAACAAAGAAAAGGTTGTGGTTTAATAGTAATCTGCCAAGTTGACAAGGGCTTGGTTGTACTGGCTAGTTTTATATCAACTCGACACAAGCTAGAGTCAGAGGAGAGGTAAGAGTCTCAGTTGAGGAAATGCTTCCATAATACAGGTATATAGGCAAGTCTGTATGGCATTTTCTTAGTTAGTGACTGATGAAGAAGTGCCTAATCCACTGTGTGAATGTCCACTTCTGGGCAGGTGGTCCTGGGTTTCTGGGCAAGTGGTCCTGGGTTCCATAAGAAAGTAAACTGACCAAGCCATGGGGGAGCAAGTCAGTAAGCATCACTCCTCCATGGCCTCTCCATAGCTCCTGCCTCCAGGTTCCTGCCCTGTTTGAGTTCCTGTCCTGACTTCCTTTTATTATGAACAGTGATGTGGAAGAGTAAGACAAATAAACATTTTCTGCCCCGAGGTGCTTTGGTTATGGTGTTTCATCACAGCAACAGTAACCCTAATTAAGACGCACATCATGAGACATTTTTATCTCTACATGAACAACACAGTGTGTGCAAACAAGTGGGCAGGGTAACATACAACATGCACATAGGCATTGGCATGCATGCATTCACTGCAGGGTACATGTGACAATCAGAGGACAACAGGTAGGAATCTGTTCTCTCCTTCCAAGAGGACTTTGGGACCACACTCAAGCTTGATGGCAAGCACTCTGACCAGTTGGAATCAGCTCCATGGCCCCTTGTGACATATACATTTAATGAAGAAAGTGAAAATGCAGAGTGCTCTGGCATTAGACAATCATGTGACCTCTGAAGCTCACTCTGTTCATTCACTCAGCCAGCCATGCTTTCATCTGATAAATCTTTTAAATTTGGAAGTGTGCCTTTGACTCTAATGTTTAAAAACTTGAAAGTAATTCTTTTTTTCCCTGTTTTAATTTAAATTACAAACGGTCCTGTTTTAGAAGTCAATTCCAGTTCCCTTTCCCTCCCTTCTTACTGTGCCCCCCATCAACCCCCTATCCCATTACCTTTCTGCTCCCCAGGGAGGGTGAAGCCTTCTATGGGGTATCTTCAAAGAGGTCTATGCCCTCCCCCATATGTCCAGGCTGAGATAGTATCCCTCTATGCGGAATGGGCTCCCAAAGTCCATTTGCATAACAGGGATAAATATTGATCCATTGCCAGAGGTCCCTAGATTGCCTAGCACTCCTAACTGACACCCACGTTCAGGGGGTCT